CTTTCTCTGGTCTGTTTCTCGTCCTTCAGCTTCCCGCCGAGCGGCCTTCACTTCCTCCAGGATCAGTTTGAGCGCATCAGGACCAGCGTGCCCTTCCAGAGTGAGGGGGCTTTTCTCTGGTTTCACAGGGCCTTCCTCTGCAGCGCCGGCGGTCTCTGTGTGGGAAAGATCAATTCAGCAGAATGAGCTCAAGGCAAAATAAGTTCAATGTCTATATGTACGTGTAGGTTTATTGTTTTGTTGTGTTTTTATACTACCAATGTATGGAATGACAATGTGAATGAGAATTATTACGTGAATCTGCAGCTTCCCCTGAACTTTATGGATTTAAAGCAACATTATTTAACTTTTCTACCTTAAAATAACAGTTTCACTTTCATTTTTGATTCTACTCTGAGTTACAATAAAGTGAACACTGTGAGGAGTGTTAGAGCTTCAGAGCGCCGGGAGAAGGAGGTTTTTAAGCCTGGGACCGAGGTGGGGTGATACTGACAGAATGGAGATGAGTGGGTGAGCAACGTAACTGGGCTCAGTTTTTATCATCTATGTTGGTGAATTTGAGATTTATTTCCACCAAATTGAGAAGGGTCCAGCTGCAGCTTGGGCGTTCCCGTCATGACACAAGCAGTGACCCGTTTTAGGCAGGCAAACCGTTAAATTACGGTAATAACCGCCTAGTCAACGGGGCACCGAGTAAAAGATGAAAGAGAAAGCTATTTTCTATACCACTAACAAGGGCTCAAAAATAGACACACACTTAACACGCGTATGGCATAATTAAGGGCCCCTTACTTGTAAAAACCGACGAAGATTGAGGACGTTTTGTAAATGGTGTAACAAAGACAGTCTATTAAGAAAAAGATTATGTTTGTTAAGAACCACATGTAGACGTTTCACCTTATAGCAGGCGGGGCGCCCATCTTTGGAGAAAACGATCACGTGACCAGTCGAATTTTGCTCAATTATATCAGAAAATATAATCGCACCAAATGTAAAACATAAACTTGTTCTAGTGTAAGCTTATTCAGTGGAAAAGAAACTGTTCCATTTTTCGCGGACATGGGAAAAAAAGTTTTTCAAGTACAGACCTTGCTTGTTAATCAGAGAAGGCGGAAATCTTCAGACTGCTACCAAAACACTGCATCTCCGTGCCAAAAAAACAGGCAACTCTCGTCTTCGGTGGCCCCATAAAGCTTCACAATGTCCGCAGGCTTTACGGCACCCACCAGTTTCCTTGCTAGTAAACCGCAGGCTGTGTTTGCAGCATTAAAGCTACCGGTAAGCATCTCTCTCTCGTAGCCCTTTTCATGGAAAGCTCGACGTGGCTCTTCGTCTGTATATTTCGGCTTTCAAAAAGAATAAGCGACGTCCATCAAACTGAAAAGGGTTGTGTTCGCATTGCTCTTTCAAAAAATTCGGTTTTGAATAATTCCGCCATTCATCTTTAGTGTGTTATTTTCCGCTGTGGAAAGCAACTAGTAAGTAGTCTCTGTTGGCGTTCATGACTGTTTCTTCCTGCAAAAACAACGTGAGTTTCACGTAAAGATGGTGCGTTCAAGTCACATTCTTCAGAGAGTTGGACTGCGTCAACGACTTTTTTTCCCAAGAATATTTTGGTTTGTTTTTTTGTAGTTTTCATTCTAAACGTTTAACGATCCATTTTGGCATATCAGAAACATTAAATAAAAAACCAATTCAAATCAAGAAGAATGTATTTTTATTTTACAGAAAAAAATCGCCATTAAAAGAGGCGTAGAAAGAAAGCAGTTTTACAAACATATAAACATTAACTTGTGTGTTTATTAAATCAAAAAACTAATGTTAATAAAAAAACAGGATATGTATATGAGTGTAGATTGTGACCGTTCTTTTAACAACATTTTTTGCTACACTGGAAGTTACAATAAGAGTGAAACTTCTTGGCCTCTGTCAATCCCACTTCTTGTGTTTTCCCCGTACGCCTGTTCTCGGTGCTATTGTAAACTTTTGGCTTTTCGGATCAGGAAACGTGC